ATCTTGTAGGTTCCAGGGGTCCCCTGGGGCCTGACTCCCACTAGTGATGAAGTCGAGCTACTGGGGGAGCAGCTGTTTGCCCCACTAGATGGCAGTGTTCTGGCTGTGGTGGGAATCTCATTGGCCACTGAGTCAGTATCAGAAGGACAATTATGGGGTTAAAATATGAAAGAAAGTTCCATATTTTATCTCCTATGATGCTGGAGCTATCAACTAGTTAGCTCTTGGGGGAAGTCAGGAATGGATGGACTGCCTCTTCTTTAGGCTGGCCTTTAAAAGTCAGAGAGAGGCTGATGGGGACACACTGGTCTTGGCTCCTAGCAGTGGAGGAGCCAGCCTGGGGAAAGGAAGAGGATGGGAGTGAACCTCAGTTGCACTTCCTGTTTCAGAGCCGTCTCAGGAGGGTAGCCATAATGGTCTGCAGCAGAAGAGCTAGATTTGAGTTCAGTAGCACCTTAGAGACCCACTAGATTTTTCAGGGTTTAAGCTTTTGAGAGTCAAAGCTCCGTTGTTAGGGAAGTGCAGTGTTACTGCCCAGGTGTGGGCAAATGGAATGTTAGGATAACTGCCAGTGCTGCCAGCTTGCCAGAAACTTTAAAACTCTATATGCGCCCTCTTGCCCAGATTGCCCAGAGGCATGGACTGGGTTGTCACCAGTACGCTGATGGCACCTAGCTCTATCTGTTGTTGGACGGCTGGTCCAACTCCAAACCGGAAGATCTGGATTGGGTGCTACAAGCCGTGGCTGGTTGGCTTAGGCTGAGCCAGCCGCATATGAGTCCGACGAAGACGGAGGTCCTGTGCCTGAGATGCGGCGGTCCAAGGGTAGGGATCCCGCTTCCAACCTTCGATGGGGCACCATTGGTGCCAGTGCCGGAGGGTAGGAGTCTGGGAGTGCCCCTGGATGCCTCCCTGACAATGGAGGCCCAGGTAGCAGCCACTGCCAGGTTGGCCTTTTACCATCTTTGGCTTATTAGGCAGCTGGTTCCCTTCCTCGAATGCAGCGACTTGGCAACAGTGATCCATGCAATGGTCACCTCGAGACTGGACTACTGTAACACCCTCTACATAGGGCTGCCCTTGTCGCAGATATGGAAGCTTCAGCTGGTGCAAAATGCAGCTGTCAGGCTGTTGATGGGACTCCCTGTCCAGGAGCACATCCAGCCTGCGCTTTAAAGTCCTTTATGGCTGGGGACCTACATACCTGAGGGACCGCCTTTCCCCATATGTACCCCAGAGAGCTCTGCGATCGGGGATCCAGAATTGACTGGCCCTCCCAAGCATTAAGGAGGCCAGGTTGGCAACGACCAGGGCCAGGGCTTTTTTGGTGGCGGCTCCACTCTGGTGGAATGAGCTCCCAGAGGAGATCAGGGCCCTGTGGGACCTTTTACAGTTCCACAGGGCCTGCAAAATGGAGCTCTCCCACCAGGCCTTTAGAGCCACCCCCCCACCCCTGTTATTACTATCAGGAGTGCCAACTGACATCGTATGGCGAAGAGCCCTGACCCGCTGGACCCCTATTAACTGCCTGAGCCGATTCCCCCCTTTATGACGTCTGAAGTACTTTACAGCATCTGAAGCAGACCAGCAATACCGACGCATGAGATTAGCATTTTATTATTATATCTGGTTTTAATATAGTATTTTAAAGTTGTATTTATTATCCATACGTAATTTGGAATTTTATCTGTTGTTAGCTGCCCTGAGCTGGCCTCGGCCTGGAGGGTGAGATAAAAGTTTAACAAATAAAAATAAATAAATAAATAAATAAAATGTGGTCATGATGGTCCAGTGATGGTAGGGTCGCCAGTCCCCAGCTGGGGGCGGGGGATCCCCTAGTTTTGTGAGTTTCTGCCTGTCGTTGGCCAGGTGGCCAGCAGGAGGAAATCCCCCCCCAACAGCAACGTCTCAGCTCTGAATTTGGGTTTACATAAGAACATAAGAGACGCCAATGTTGGATCAGGCCAAAGGCCCATCCAGTCCAACACTCTGTGTCACACAGTGGCCAGAAATACCAGTGCCATCAGGAGGTCCAGCAGTGGGGCCAGGACACCAGAAGCCCTCCCACTGTTGACCCCCCCAAGCACCAAGAAGACAGAGCATCACTTGCCCCAGAGCCCCTATCTATACCTTGTGGCTAATATCCACTGATGGACCTCTGCTCCATATGCTTATCTAATTCCCTTTTGAAGCCATCCATGCTTGTAGCCGCCACCACTTCCTGTGGCAGTGAATTCCATGTGTGAATTCCATGGGTTTGCTTGACATTGGACTCCAGCGTTTCTTCCCTGTCAGCGTTTCCTCCAGTGTCTAGAGCAGAGTATAAACAGTCTTAAGTAAAACAAATTAACAATGTTACCAAAATGATTTAAGTATCTCAGTCTTAATGTTGGACTAGTCCCCATTCTCTTTGCTGTAACGGGAGCTGTGCTTAAGCTGTAAACCTTATCTAGCCACCTCTTAAACATTCAAGGGAAATAATTCACATGGTTCCTAAGTCACTTGCTTCATTGTCCAACAGTGGCTTATAGTTAGAAGCAGTTCTAATGTTTTATCTATACCTCCTTTCCAGCAATTTACTGCCTGGTCTCCAATGAGGCTGTGGTAACAGAGAGCAATTACACTCAGTCATCCTGGTGGATATCTTTCTAGATATATTACCAAAGTGTATAGTTGGAGGGGACCTGAAGGTAATTGTGCCCAGCACCCCTTAACAGAATAGTCCATATCCTTTGAATTAACAGCATGCTGCAAATAGGGATCAGGAACCGCAAATGTGTACTATCTCAGAAGTGCCCATAAGGAAATAACTTGCTAAAACAAACCTAAAATGAGTAAAAGGTGCCATATGCTGTAAAGAAGATAGCACCAGTCCGACTTGGTTGGCAAATTCCTTTGTGTCCTAATTACACAACTGGGTAGATCTTGGCATGAAAACAACATTTCACGGTATCCCTATTTATTTTATTTTAAACCATTTGTACCCTGCCTATCCCTAAAGGCCTGAAGGAGCTAACAACATAATTAATCAAACAAGTTAATAAAGACAATATGTAAAACTCCTTCAGATAAACCTCGCCACAGCCTAATGCTCAGGAAAGACAGCACTTTTCTGCTGCCAACAACAAATACAAAATCAGCACAAACAACAGAAAACACTAATTACCTTCCATTCTACCCCACCCCTGGCAAAAAAGCAGTGGTGGGATTTGTCATGTGGGTTCAGGCAGACCAATCCAGAGGGTGGGGCAATGCAAGAAAAGGCCTGATTTCTGGTCATCTATAAATACAAATGTGTCATTTGACCACTGTAACTCCAACACAAAGACTTTAAAAGGAGATACTAACATGAAAATGCTGAACTACAGTTTCTTAGTGAAACTTGCTACCGTTGAATTTTGACTTCACTGTGATTCTTCTACCTTTCTTGTTACAGAAAGTAAAGTAAGTCTTTCTGAGCTGATACTGTTTTCCTTGCCAGTGGCCACTGTCAGGAATGGGCCCCTTTGATTCATCATAGGTATATTTAGGGGTCTTCAGAGAAATGTGACTTCTGGTATTTCATGTTCTGTTGGCCTAGTTGTCTTCACACTTTTGTTCTTTGTATTTGCATGTGAGTGTGGTTTGTGTGTGTGTATATATATTTTACACACACATACACACACACGAGTTTATAGTGGTGTTTCATGCAGTTGCCAAATGAAGTCAAGTTCTCGAAAGCTTATGGCACAATACATTTCAAATACCAGAAATTCTATATTTACTATTTGTCCTGCTAATTTTTTCCAGCATTTTCTATTAATATTATTCTGTAGTTTAGAGACAGGAAGCCTGGTCATTGTTTTTATTTTTATCTTACACTTACGTTTGCGTATAAACTTGTATATGACATATTGGGCAAGATCCAATTCTATTTTCACTTTGTTGCAGGTAACCGAACTAATAAGCGCATCTTCTGCATCAAAGAGACCTTTGTTGACCTTTGTGGTAGATAGGGTTGCCAGGTCCCTCAAAGTCCCTAGCGGGGGACTTTGGGGTGTTTACTGGAGAGGGTGGGGAGTCCCCAGTGTGATGACATCACTCAGAAGTGACATCATATTGAGAGCGGAGGCTCCCACCTCTCCCCAGCAGCATCTAAAGGTTCTTTTTAAACCCTGCTGGGGAGAGGTGGAGGGGAAGCCACATGCCCCTGCATGCCAAGCCCTGAATTTGTGCAGCCCCTGCCTCTCCCCAACAGCATCTAAGGGTCCTTTTAAACCCTGCTGGGGAGAGATGGGGGGAAAGCTGTGTGCACCTGCACGCCAAGCCCTGAATTCAGGGCTCAGAGTGCAAGCGCCTCTGCCTCTCCCCAGCAGTGTTTAAAGGGTCTTTTTCAACCCTGCTGGGTTGAGGTGGCGGGGGGAGGCCGGGTGGTTGCTCTTGGGAGTGAGGCTTCCCCCCCTGCCAGCTGGCTGGTGGGCAGGAAGAGAGAGAGAGAGAGAGAGAGAGAGGAGGGGGGAGATTGGATTTACACCCCGCCCTTCACTCGGAGTCTCAGAGCGGCTTACAAACTCCTTTCCCTTCCCCTCCCCACAACAGACACCTTGTGAAGTAGATGGGACTGAGAGAGCTCTTTCCAGAACTGTCCTTGAGATAACAACTCTGACAGAACAATGGATTGCCCAAGGTCATCCAGCAGCTACAGGTGGAGGAGTGGGGAATCAAACCCAGTTCTCCCAGATTAGAGTCCGCGCACTTAACCACTACACCAAACTGGCTCTGCACCAAACTCCTCCAAAGTGGGCAACCCACGCCAAACCGGGGGGGTCTGGCAAGCCTAGTGGTAGACCATGCTGTGCGCTCATCTCCTTCATTGAGTTGCATGATTGTAATGCTTACTGGTGCAAAGCTCCATACTTCATGATTCATAAATAATCATAGTTAAATGTAGCTAAAGTTAACTATGTTTGGCATATATAGTTTTACTGCATTTTGGAGAATGATGTTATTTCCCTCCACAGACAAAAGCTGTTGGTTTGCTTGATGCAGATGTATATGGGCCTTCTATTCCAAAAATGATGAATTTGAAAGGGAGTGCAGAAGTGACATCGAGTAAGTTTTGACTTTTATCACTCTTCTAATTTTCATTTCATTTATTTATTTCAATTTCTAGCCCTCCTTCCCCTGCACAGCAGGCTCAGGGTGGGTTACAACATTCTTAAAACATACAAAAAGTTAAAATACAGTACAAATAATAAAATCTATCAATTTCAGAACAATACAATACATAAAGACCCTTAAGTGGTGCCAACTGAACAATTTGATGAACCAGATGCATTCTAATAATAAGTAGCTGCAGATTGAAGCAGAACAAGGCAAGTGAATGGGTGAGGGGAGCAGCTATGATGTAGGGGAGGCCATTGTAGATGGATTATTGCCTCCTCAGCCATAGTGATACAGTGGTAGTTCTCAGCAGGATTAATAGAATAATGGAGTTCGCAAAGGAATAGGAAGGATTATTTTGTACAGTTATTGGGGATACGATATTTCATCATTAAGTGCAGAAAAACAAGAATGGAATATTAATTTGATTTATAAACTGCCCTTCCCCCAGAGGGCGCACCACAATTAAAGCATAAAATAAATTAAATCATACTTCATAATAGTCTATCAATTAATAGAATAAAACCATTAAAATACAATCTAGGTCATTGATGGCGCTCAGTATAACTCTCTCCCTTTGTGGGGGGGCAGATCCTGGGCCGAATACAATGGATGCCATTGCTGTCCTCAACCATAAGCCCAGTGGATACCTCTGTCTTGCACACTCTGCAGAACTGTATTAGGGTCTGCAGGGTGTGGATGTCACCAGGTAGAGAGTTCCATCAGGCAGGAGCCAAGGCCAAAAAGGCCTGATTGAGGACAGCTGGACATCTTTTGGGCCAGTGATCACCAGGGAACATACCAGGAGAGGTGGTCCCACAGGCATGTTGGCCCCATGTTGGCCCCTTGAAGATGAGAACCAAAACCTTGAAGCAGATCTGGTAGTCAACCTGGAGCCAGTGCAGCTGGCGAAGCACCGGTCGAATGTGTGTGTCACATTGGGGTACATGTGAGTACCCGCGCTGCTGCATTCTGGACCAGTTGTAATTTCTGGGTCAGCTTCAAGAGCAGCCCTGCATAGAGCAAGTTACAGTCATCTAACGTTGAGGTGACCAGTCACTGTGGCTAGGTCAGGGTGAGGGAGGAAGGGGTCCAGTTGTCTGACTTTATGTAGTTGGAAGTTGCAGTTTGAATTTATGTGCTTCCAGCTTCTTAATGTTTTCTGTTTTAGATTTTTTTCTTCAATTGTTTCTCTTACTTTTTTGTGAGCCATTATGCATTCTTTCAAATGGAATGGCAGGTCCTGAAAATAGATAATGGAAGTGGAAGGAACCAAGTACATCTGATACAGCTTCACTTCATGTATTGTGGAGCAGTGCTTGCAGTAGTTAGAAGAGAACAGCCCACTTGCTGGGGTTTCCAACCTCCAGGTGGGGCCTGGAGATCTCCTGGAATTACAAGTGATCTCCAGATGACGGAGATCAGTCACTCTGGAGAAAATGGCTGTGGTCCTTGCTCTCCCCAAACCCTGCCCTCCCCAGGTTCCATCCCCAAAACTCCAGGAATTTCCCAACCCAGAAATGGCAACTATTGTTATCTCCCTTGTACAGAAAGCCTACAGTGTAAGTAACAGCTGCTAAAAGTAATGGACATCAGTAGTTAGAAGAGAACAGCCCACTTGCTGGGGTTTCCAACCTCCAGGTGGGGCCTGGAGATCTCCTGGAATTACAAGTGATCTCCAGATGACGGAGATCAGTCACTCTGGAGAAAATGGCTGTGGTCCTTGCTCTCCCCAAACCCTGCCCTCCCCAGGTTCCATCCCCAAAACTCCAGGAATTTCCCAACCCAGAAATGGCAACTATTGTTATCTCCCTTGTACAGAAAGCCTACAGTGTAAGTAACAGCTGCTAAAAGTAATGGACATGGTAGACTGATTTAAATTGCCAAGAAGAAAAGGCTGATTTAAATAATTGCCAAGAAGAAAAGGCTGATTTAAATAATTGATTTAAATAAAAAAAGCCATTCATTATTTAGATACATACTAAATAAACGTATACTGTGGTTGCTGTTACCATAAATTGTATTGATTTAAAACTACATAGAGCCTTTATATAATGTCAGAGGGGTACCCTATAATATAGTTTATTTTTACTTTTGTAGAAAATTATACAATTAATTGCACATTTTTAGATAATTTTATACCTATGATTCCAAGTAGGGTTTCTTTGAGAACCAGCAGTCATGACAGATTATTGTAGACAAGCTGCAATCAATGCCTGATAGGTCTTCTTCCTCATCATTCTTTTCTGTTTTAGTCTGTCCCATCTCCTCCTCCAGCTTTTTAATGCTGTGGCCAGTACCACCTGGGGGGGGGGGGGGGGGGAATAGTATCAACAAATGGCAAGGATGGATGGTGATGACTGATCAGATAATTGTTTGCCATGAGATGGAAGTCAAGTAGAACCATATCATTATATCTATTTCTGAACTGGTCATAAGTGTGGATTCTTAAAAATAATAGAAACAGCACTTCTAGCTTTAAGACATGAATGCCCTCTGAGATCTCAGTTGCCATTTTGGGGCTTGCTAGGAAACCACAACAAATATGGGTGATCCTCAACAATAGAATGAGATGTCAAATAACTGGTGGAGCAAAATCCCAGTATCCAGAGGAAAATATGGGCACTCCTGAGTGGGGACAGGTCTGTGTTGCCCAGGAGACAGGGTTATTCCTGTAAGAAGCTTTCAAAAATGCTCCTCCAACTCACTGGCCTGGGAATCCTAAAACCGTGTGTACACAAGAAAATTTTGGAGCAACATTAAGAAATGAGAGACAATTCTAAGTAATAAGATCAATTTTATTGCCTACAAAAAAGGGTTAGAGAAAGGCAAGAAAGAGAGATGAACTTAAAAACGCAATTTAATCACAGCAGTCCCTCAAATGAGCAGTGGTAGTTTACAGAGGTATCTTCACAGCTAGTCCAATAGAGCCAGTAGTGTGTGGTTTTTAAGTACTGTGTCCCCAAGAAGGAATGAAAAGAGAGGACCCCACAGTGAGGTAGGTTAGGCTGAGAGTGTGTGACTGGCCCAAGGTCAGCCAGCAAGCTTTAATGGCAGAGTGGGGATTTGAAGCTGATTCTGAGACACTAACCATTATACCACACTCATCTCAGTCTGAGTATTGTCCAAGTATCATAGTAGTGGAGGGCAGTTTGGGGGTAAAACTGAACCTAGAGCTAGTTTAAAAACGGGCTGTTTTAACGTCTACATTTGCATTGTTTCCTGATCATGTTAGAAATTATCTCTGGCAATTTACTCTAGTAGATATGCTAATTGTGACAGCAGATGATCCTGCCTTTGTTATTTAATTCAGGCGGGTTACATGATTGAGCGATCCAGTTGTAGGTTGTTTTTGGAATTCGTTAAGTATACTGGAATGTCTGTTAGTGTATTTCAAGCACTGGTCATCTTTTTAGTCCATATATTGGGTGTTCTCTTTATGTAATTTGTTTGTGTACGTGAAATTTTATAGTATTGCATCTATGCATTGGTGTTTTATTGTATTTTAATTTGTTGTACGCTGCCTTGAGCCAGCTTCTGCTGGCAAGGTGGGATATAAATCGAAATAAATAAATAATTCTCATGGGGTAACAAGACAAGCCTTTAGGCAGAAGGAGTTGCAAAGTTTCCTGGTTACCTCAACGCAATTCCAGCTACAAAATAAAATGCATGTAGAGCACTAAATGCAGACAAGGGCATAGACTTTCCAATTTCCCGGGGGGGGGGGCGGGGGCTGGGGCGTGGC